TGTCGACAGAAGATTCGTTAATGAACTTCTGGGTGGCTTGCGATCTCACAAGCAGCCGCCTTCTGCCCCTCGTAGACGGGCAGCGCAGTGTGGCCGAGTTGTCGCGAATAGCGCTGGTGGATGTGAACATTGCCCGTGTCTGCCTTACCCAGCTGGCTAATGTCGGCGCCGTGCATAAAGTTTCTGTTCCTGTTTTTATGCACCATGTCTCAGACTTCCAGCTGGAACAGAGTTTCGAGGCTGAGGAGGTATCATCGGATATCCTCTTTTCAGTACCCGGTTATATTGGCATGCCGCGGCTGATGGAACTCACCCGAAATGAAACGCTCAAGATGGCCTGTCTGGAGTCAGTGGTGAGTCTGTACATGCGCCTGCTGCTGCTGCTATATGAGTAGGCAAATACAGTTAGCACTTTTCAGCTCATACCCAGCGTTTAGTTTCATCTCACTATAAATAACTAGGCATTCTTTTAAACTACGACGAGCTAACGATTGTTTTCGGGAAGGTCACCAAATTACGGGATAACTCAGGACTGGGTATCGGGCTATAACGGATCCCTATTAATTTTACTCTTACGACATTGTAACTGACCTGTGCGAGACCCCCTCACTTCTTGTGGAGTTACGGACATGGCCTCCGTATTGCCAGTCACTGTGTCCATCTCCAGCTCATCTCTATTCGACCTTGCTACTGGAACATGGTGGATCGGGGGAGATAAAAAGACCGGCGCGGCGCAGCGCAAGTCTGCTTCGCCATAAAACACACGCCGCTGCTGCTAGAAGTAGGCTTTGGGAGGTTTTATTAGATGAACTTCTTACTGTTGGTCTTGGTGTTTAGAGCAGCCGTTAATGAGTTAAATTTGTGAACCGAAAGTACCTATCGGCATAATCTACCAAGAATTATCTGCGGAGTGTTAAGTGCTTGAACTTCATGAGACATTGGCCGGCGGGCGTATTTATAATCTTATATAAGGGAGGTGTCGGTTTGTCACGGAAATATGTATTCCCAATACCACAATTGGATTTGCTCCAAATTCCAAAGGGCTCTTCTTAGGAGGAGCCGTTCTAACCGACTTGCTCACACGCCGTGCGCATGCTGATATCGCGCGAGCTCCTGACAGGACTGGAGATCTACCTAACCAGTTAGGTGAGTCGAAAGTCCAGCTGGCGGGCTAACCACTCAAGGACAGCGTCTCGTCCAATCCCAGTTCGACCTTGGACATTACCGTAGGTTCCTTTGACCGCCTTGAATGCACAGTTAGCATGAGCCAGTACGTTCCTCTTCTTCCGTCTTTGTTGTTGAGTTCCGATTTGGGCATTCGATTCAGGAGAGCCATTGGACAGGCGACCATCGGGGCATGCGGTAAGAACACAACAGTTGGTGTAAGGGTTGGGGCAAGCGTTAAGACACGAGAATGCGGACTCCCTGGAATTTAGCGCAAGGTCACCTACAGTACTGGAGGCTTGTCGTAAGTTTGGTGGACAACCTCGCGTTTTTTTCTTGCGTTGTAGTCCCCCGAATGTCACAGTTTCAGTAGCACAGAGTCTTCAGATTTTCTAGGGAGGGTCGGATCCTATTTCGTAGCCGCACCTGCAGTAGGCAAGCGCCGGTGGTGGCAAGGGTTTTAAAACTAACCGATAACCATAATCCTAACGCCGAACACTAACCCTAACGCTAGCCCCTTACCCCACCCCTAACAGGTGCAGCTACGAAATAAGATCTTACCCTAGGGAGACCCAAGGCCAACTAGTTTGAATAGCAAAAAAAACCTACGGAAAGTTCGCCTCAGATAACATTTTCGGACGGCTATGATTTTTCGGAAATCGATTGTTTGGAAGGTGGGAAGGTCTGCGTGAAAGTACGCATGGGTTTTTTAAACCTGCCTGGTATGCAAGCCAATTGCATTAGATGCATAAGACTGTTTTGACTGCCCGCACATCTCGTCCAAACTGCGCGAACATATGTTGGGAATTGGTTTTTGAAAGTATAACTCGTAAACCGTTGAGCCAAGACCAAACGGGTTGCTGTTTGAAAAGTTGCGAGCTACCGATTTTTCCAGTACAGAGATTTTGAAGTCTTCAATCCATAGCTGTATGAGAAACGATATCCCCTAAAAACCCTATGTGCATATGGAGCATTCCCAAGAGAAAAAACGTTACGCTGTTTTAATGACTGCTTTTCACACGTATATGTTGAAAATCCGGATGTCATTGCACATAGAAGGCGGGGTCGTTTTTATTGTAACTGATTTGCCATGAATCGCCTGTACATTACTGAAAAGTTGGTGCCTTATTGTCCTTAAGTTCTCAAGTTTTTGCGTATTATGACTAGAGGAGGCAGGGAAGATACGAGTTACCCTTCAAAATGGGTCAAGTTTCTTCGCCAGATACTTCCCGTTCAAATTTGATATTTTAATACTTTGTGTAGCTTGCATACATTGCCCACTCTCCCTTTAACTAACGATTAAGACATGTCGAAATCCGTCCTCGCATCTAGCTTGAATAGCGTCTCGACAGCCAAAAGCTTCTAAACTACGGACTAGCAGGAAACATAGCAATGCCACGAACACGTGATCAAGAAACACTTGCGAAAGCAGGTGGTTCCTATGTTCGCACTCTTTAACTTGACAATGCGTGTGCTGACAAAATGACATGACGAAGTGTCTGCTGAAAATACTGCACCTTCTGTGAGTTAACGTTAACCTTTAATGCAATGTTTGAGGTTGGCGACCTGTCCCTCCAAGTACACCCACTTGTGCCATATTTATCGGTTTTTTCACTTTGAATAGCATCTCTTCATGTGCGTACTCCCGCACACCACATACTCGACCTTTCTCGTGCCTGTTTTAGCTGATCCCTCGCCCCTCGGCAGAAATCTCACCAGACTCTACTGAGACCTGTTCAACACAGTTTATCTCCGCCATACTAAGGGTTTACTGCAAACTCTGCGCGTCACCTTACTTCAACCTCCCGCACCTTCTGGCTGCCACCAAGCACTATGTAGACCTTGTGATCCCGCCCCCTTCCCCCCGCTATGACCACCCCAACCTTCGGCATTCCTACCAGACGCCGATCCACGACTCACTTGTGAGTAATTGCTCCTACCTGGGCTCAAATCCAGCCTTACGCACCATCCCGAGGGTGGATCTACTGCGACTGGTACAATTTGGTGAAGTGAATGGTCTCATACGTCGTCTGTACTGTTACCCTATTAGTGATCTGTCCCCGGCCACATCCACCTCCCCCGACCATCTCTCATCCGAAACTAGGACGGACTCCACCCCGAAGAACCGGCCGGACAGAGGCAAAACAACCATAGTGCGTACTCTAAGTAACACGCTTTTGCCTCCGCCGGCACCTCCATCCTCTCTTTCACGCCAGACATCGGTGAACTTGGATCCTGTACTCTACTCTCTACAGACCCGGCTATGGCCATTTGCTCGTTCCCACTTGATGGACGGGGTGTCACCCGTTGATTCCATCGTCCTTCAGCTGTCCGGCAAGGCCCTTCGTCGGATACAGAAGGTGATGCGACAACAGATGCAAGACTGGACGCCCTCCCAGTTCTCCACCCTGCCGGATGCCATTGTGACCTTCACAGCGCGTCTCCTAGTCGAGAGCGTAAAATGCCAGCAAATGACGCCTATGCTTACCTCGGAGGACATGAGTGGGAGCCCGCGATGTCAGCGCAAGGGCGCACATCTTGCCTCAGCCATCCAGCAGCAGCAGCCCCTAACAGCCTGCTTCTCCGATAACAATCTACCTCCTGAGCTGCGTGATAACCTGCTGCGACAAACGCGACGAGTCTCGCTAATCAGCGATATTCTTAAGGTGACAAGGGGGAAGCATCAAGAAGTGGCTGTGGCCGGTGGCGGACGATTGAACGGCATCCGCCCAACACAGGAGGATATACCCGAAGTTATAAACAGTCTTGTGCCACAGCTTTATCTGCTCTGGCATTAATTACCCCCCCCCCCGCCTTTCGCGTGGACCGTGACAACTATCTTACTTCTCAGGTTTCCAAGAGTCTCCATTTAGTGATTTCCTAGATGACAGATAGGTGAACGATCGCTTCCGACAAATCACCACTCAGTTTTGTATATATATAGGGGAGATCTTTCTGCTTACAATATAGTATTTGCTGAAATTCCACACACGTGCTTCTCCGGTGCCGTCCATTCATCTGACGACTTTATGCCGGCAACAGTGGTTCTGTCTGCTGACAGGTTTGGATATTAAGCGGTTATTCTGTAGAAATTGCTGGTATTCGTCACAGTCTCGAGGTTGACCCCGAAAGGTGTTATTACGAAAAAGTGCTTTATTTCCTGACATCGATAATTTGCGTAACGTGTTTTTTCTGGGCGTGATACGCACGAGCAACCTTGTCGCCGACACCCCTGAACCAGAATAACAGAGCTTCTAAGCAGCACAGAGACATGCAGAAGGCCCTAATTGAGCGGACAACACTGTCGAATCTGTGAACCTAATAAGCAATTTCATAAGAAAAATTAAGGTGCTATATAAGCACTTTGTAAGTACTGGGACACTTTTTGGAGGGGTATGTGCTAGACGAAGATCGAGCAACGCCGCCCAAGGATAGTGAAGGACAAATGTCAAACAGTGGTTATTACGAAAAAATATTTGATTTAGAAGACATTAATCAGGCCGGGGTCGCAGAAGGTAAGCAACAGAAGTATCACAGGTAAGGGGACGAACGCGAGGGGAGGGGAAGTGTGCAGTCAAATTGAGGTAGAAAAAGACCTGATTTAAGTGGGCACTTCAATCGTCGTCGTCGTCATTGTCGCTGAGAACAAGAACCTAAAATGTGATGACAAAAGTCGTAGAAAACTGAGACATACACATGAGGATTAAGAAGAACCTGTATTGCTGGGAATCGGCGTCATTAACACAAACCAAAAGTGAAAATTGAACGGAGAAACATTTTGGTGGAGGAGTTTCGGCCGGACAGCTCGGTGCGCCATTTTACGAATACATCGTACATAGCGTTTTGACTGGACTTTTACGTAGACATAGTTACGAATCGAATGGCCTTTGATGTGCCTTGAATGTCCGTGAGGACGCTTCACGGAACTATGCGTTTTCCTTAAATCCGCTTTTGGAGAGAAGGGGACATTCTGGTTCCAGTAATTGTCGAAAAGTGTGTACACTGCTTGAGCGATGGTCTACCATCGAATGTATTGTTTGAGAGGCAAACAATTATACCTGATAAGGTATTGACAGTGAATAAGTGTGATGAGCGCCTGTAACGATCGCCGGTTGGTTCAGTAAAATTCACTCAGCCAATCGTAACGTAGGCATAGTTTGTACTCACTGGTAATATCTCAGGGTGCGTCAAGTACTTAATCCGAAGGGTCTACCAGCACCAAACTCGTACTCCCCGCCTTATGAGGTAATTTAAAGCCGTGGCCTAGGTGGTAGTTTATCATTGTTAAACTCATATTCTGTGCACCCACCAAGTGAAGTAATAAGCCGTCCTTTTAAGAATGGTCACAAATGCTATGAGAATTACGTTTGTATTATTCACAATCTGACAGATCCAAAGAAAGCTCTGTAACGAACAGGTCAACCTCCATTAGGAATGGATCTTTGCGGAGGCGATGGACTAGATGTATGGCCATGAGTAGGCTGACAAATCCCGGGACCCGAATTTGCAACAGTCTATAAAATGGTGGGAGAGGGATGGCGAGAAAACAAAGCAAAGAACGACCAGACATGGAATTTTCGATTGGACACGGAAATAGGTACGCCCTGTACTACAGGTGGCCTTTTGCTGGATTCCAGGGATACCTATTTCCGTGTGCAAACTTGGACGCGAAACCTAACCCCGGCTCTGGAGTTTAGCGTAAAGCCACTTACAATATGACCATATCCCACCGAACTTTTTGGCAACTGGCTGGGCGTGACGCGTTGGGAAGGTCGGAAAACAATTCCTGAACGATAAGGGGCCTATAATTTGCGTTTTCTTCCATCTATGCGTTCGGCAGTTTTATAATCCTTGTGCAAGTGATCCTTATTCGGCTTCAACTATGCCGATCCAGGGCCAGCTGGGTACAACGGTAATCGGATATTTCTAACGAGTGGGCAAGTTAGGGTTAACAGTGAATAGTGGTCCCGTGACGCAAAATGTCCGAAAAATCGACCCCAATTACTACCAGTCATCACCCTAGACTTCCTACAAGTTTCTTAAGTAGTGAAAAATTTCGAAGATGAGTTGGGTGGGGCAGTAAAACCCTGCAAACATGCTATACCAATGGTGAGACTGGATGATATACCAACTAGGAATGCAGCTCACATAGGATCGAACGAATGCGCTCAACAGACCTGTTCAGCTTCGGATGGTTCGCAGGGTGTTAAAGGTTGGACAAACTGAGTTAGGGATAAACTTGAAAACTAAACATTTTAAGAAAGCTAACGTTTCGAAAGGAACAATATTTATAAAACTTTCGAGAATTATCATCAGAAAGTAACGCACATCATTGAACGTGGTCTCCAGATGAAGTTGATGTAGACCGGACACCACCTCCAGGTGGCTGGCATCATCAAAGACGCGAAGCAGAAAGTCGAATCCGTTTTTGGAATAGGCATCTAGGATCTGAAGTGCAAGGCACAACGAGAAGGGCGGGAAGCAAGTCCAGTGTGAAATGTCAAAATGCACAAACTTAAGGATAAAACAAATTACAGAATCCGCCAATAACAGATCCATCAAAACAATGAAAAAAAGTTGTTAAGGAATGCGAACAAGTCGATGAAGAAGCCAAAAAGGCTTGCTGCACATTGCGGCCTCTTAGATGAAAAAGGCATGGAGTGTGGCTACCTTGGTAGGTAACGCGATTCTACGGCCCCGTGGCCGTCCGCTCCCTTGACCTCCGCCGCCTTGTCTACCTGCCCTCCTGTCCGCATCACGCTCCCTGTCGATTAGCGGCTGGGGCCGCGCGAGGCTTTTCACTAGCCTCGCGAGAGATTAAAGCCAATCAACGCTGCCCCTCCTCTGATTGGCTGGGGCACGCTAACTGGGAGAGAATAAAGGTGCACACACGCACTGGGGGGTCAATAACCTCAACGGCGGACACAGACAAAGAACGAGCCTGGAGAGACAGCTGGCGACAAAGGCTTGCAGAGCCTTTGGTACACACATTCTCATCAGTAAAGGTTGTCCAACCCAGTCCATCCTTCCTGACCTATGATTTGGAAATCTTCGTGTTGTCGGTCATACCACCTTCAACAACCCCAACGACAAAAGCGCCTTCTTGCTATCGGATGCGCGCAACGTTCATAGAGCTTACAGGCTGATCCTACTTATATTTCCTAAAACCCAAGTCCCGTTTGACAATGCCGATTTAGGCGACGATGATGATGCGATAATTTCGATGGCGCGGTAGCGACCTGTGTGCAACTTGACTTATTTTGAAACATCTACCTCATTTCCATTGGTAAGATAAAGATGGCCAGGGATGCGGTGGCTGACAAAGTCAAGAAAAAGAAGGGTTAGATGATAGTTGGTAGCCCTCTCGACAACGCAAACTCCCAGCTGCCTGTCAATCGGGACCGGTGGTAATAGGGGCTATACGGGTGGGACAATTGAGTGGACGGGTAATTGGCGATTGTAGTATATGCTAGGAATTGACGCTCCTAGTAAAGTGGAAGCCTAATTTAGATTAGGTGAAAAATACAAGGAAGGTATGGAAATGAGCAAGGAGACTTTGAACGGTGTGTGAAATAAATGCATCCTAGCCTCAGACTGGAAATAAAAGCAAGGCGAACAACCAATGGGAAGAAGGCAACTGGTCCGAAGGTCATTCCGCAGTGTAAGCGATAGAACTCCATCCAACATAATGGACAGAAGGACACGAGAGTCAAGCAGCGGCACGCGGAACGCCACAACGCAAGCCGGGTAAGACTTTTATGCGAAAAATTGGTTTGGGCGGAAGACAAAATCCGCAAATAATGAGGCAGTCGAAAACTACCTCTGCTAATGAAAGCCTTATTGGCATCGTTACCGGTGCCAATCCGTCCAAGATAGTACCTCTACAATGAATGAGGCAGTCAAGAGCTACCTCTCCTTATGAAAGTTGATGTAGGGAAAGCCCCATTGTCATCGTTACCGGTGCCCAGGATAGTACCTCCACAATGAATCTGGTACAGGTAATATAGCACGCATGCAAATTAAGAAGCATAAAAAGAACGTAATCATAGCTACTGAAATCAAGCCAAGAGGAACAATTGTGGATTATGTGGGCACGGTTGCCAACTACCTCTCCTAATGAAATTTGACATAGGGTAAGCTTCATTGTCATCGTTACCGGTGCAAATCTGCCCAGGATAGTACCCGTAAAATGAATCTGATACAGGTAATGCAGCGTGCGCGTGAATTTAGAAGTATAATGAGAACACAATCACGGCTACTGAAATCGATCCAGTAGGTACCATTGTCGAGTCTGTGGGCACGGCTACCAACTATCATCTTACCAAAAGAAGATTTTGTGCATGCCCTCTAGGAAATGTATTTGGATGCATAAGAGTGTCGAAAATCAATGGGAAACAAACCCATACTACCAAAGTAGTCATTATTATGGAACGTGGCTTACGCGGGCAGTCTATAAGGAGGAGCTCATTTGAAAGCCGGCATCCTGCCGTGACTGGAATAGCTTGGTATTATGAGACACGGATAATTAACACAACAACCCTACTTAGGTGATCTTTTCGAATTGAAGACACATTTCAGGGTGTCGGTTAATGTTTCATGTGACAGCACATCTGCAGTAATTCCCTCTTGCCAAGATGTGTTAGCGCAATGTTTGGGTGATGTGATGGCCGTGTCATAAAAAATTCGTCTAACGTAACGTCGTTGGACTCTAAACTCCAGCTCATCAGGGTCATCCACAGTGCTCGGAAACTTCTTCCATATAGCAAACCATAAAGACCCACTACACGGCGAATTGTTT